GAAACACCACTCATCTTCAGTACTTATATGACCTTATTGTGTTACAAATGCCGTTAATTTCTTACTAAAACTAAAATAGTCACGAGGTCCTTTTTCGTTTAGCAAGTCGAGCGCCATCTTGCACTAGCTGCGTGGTGGAACTTCCAACTTGTGGAAGTTTTTGTCACAGCTTTTAAAACTGTTTAATTGTTTTTTGTTTAATTTTTTTTTTATCAAGGTAAGATTTTAAGAGCTTTATGCACCTGTAACACAACAAGGTCATATATGTTCCGGAGATTAGAGGTGTTACAAGAGAGTAACAAACACAACACGAAGGAAGAGAGATGAGGACGATAGAGTTTTAATATAGGAAAGAAGGATCAAATCACACCAGAGCACCCGCCAACCATAAACTGTTGAAAATTGGTTCATTTTAGCTGAAAAATATTTTAATAATAATAATAATATTGCTCATGTTCTTAAAATAATTTAAAACAAAACCGGGAAAATGGAGGTAGTGGTTCCCATTTATTATCTGGGTAGAAAGTTGTATCCTAGCCCAAACTACCCAGCCTTAATAATTATATATATAACACCTTTTTTGTGTGTGTTTTCGGCACTAGCAACTGCATAAGGTCATATGAGCGCGCACGACACACCAAATATTTTCAGTTGGTAGGAAACTTTGTGAATTTTGCGCGGGTGGCGGCGGAGGCCTACTTTTATCGTTTTTGGACCACCAAGAGATCATAAGCGTGCGCAAATTGCACACGGGACCTCCGAGATTTTTCATCCTTGTCCGAGAAGGCTAAGTGTAGATCTTACCTACCAGAAGATCAGGGGTGTTTCTGAAAAGACAGCAGTAAGGAGGAGCCAAGGAGTAGCAGTAGAAAGGCTGCAGAAAGAGCAGGGAGCCAAGTGGAGGGTGCAAAGGAGGTGAAGGGATGGGGGCAGAAAGTGGAGACGAAAGCAGACGACAGAACATTGTTAGAGAGCAAGAAAGCATATGAAAGAAGAAAATTTAAGAGGGTGTATGTGTCGTTGTTTGGAAAGGTTTAAGACCCACAAAAAAAACTTGCACTGTGACACAACAAAGACCGTTTAGGAGATGGGCAACTTCGACCATACCCCCACCCCCTCCCAGGGCAGTGCTACTGACTGAAGTGTCTTTGGGCCATTCATAAGGGAGAGATATTAACATGTTCTTTTGTACAGAAGTCTCGTAAATAAACAAACGTACTTAATGAAGCAGACTGCCCCGAACTGGACAAAAAAGCCATATCACTTCACCATAGCCAGGGATCACAACTTCTTTTTTTCGTAAGAGTTTTACGCACATGCAAAACAATAAGGTCATATAAGTGCCGAAGAATAGACGTTTTACAAGAGAGTAACATACACAAAAAAGAAGGAGA